ATCTCTACATGAGGAATTTATCCAACTCAAAAGTAGCTGTGAGGGCCAGGGATTTAGCTCAGTGGTTCTGATGCCTGCCTTGCAAGCACAACAACCTGAGTTCGATCCCCGGTACCCCCTCCAAAAAAAAACAAACAAAAGTAGCTGTGAATTCGGGAGTTGCTGGCTGTGATGGGGCTTTAGCCCCTTCCATGGGCATACTTGGGCTCCAGACCCAGCTGTGTCCTCCTTCCCCAGTCATTTTTCTGGAAGCTCTTCTTTCTTCTGAATCTCAGTGTCCTCGTACAAATGTTGGGGGCACGTGTCCTTCCCATAGGAGTTGTGAAGGGCAAATGAAGTAGTAACGCCTGGCACGCGGTAGCCTTAGCATCAACGGTGCAAATGCTCTGGTACATTGCTCAACTCTACTTCCTGCCCACGGCCTCACCTTCCAAGCCTGGGTCGGCTGAGCAGCACAGCTACCAGAATAGGCTTGAACTTTGAGATGAAGTCAGGTTGGTCCTGATGTTTACCTTGACTCACCTCCCTCAGATAAGGTAACTGAACTGGGTGGGGTGGAGCTTGGTGAGAAAAGTAGGCTCCCACTCCCTCCACTGTTGGTTACTGTGGCAGCAGAACTATCAGAGGCCAATAAGCAATGTGGCCTGGAGTCTTGTTTTTTCTCAGCCCTGGCTGAGCTACTATAAAGTAGCTGCCCCTCATTGCCTAGTCATAAAAGATAGGGAGTTTAGGTCCCAGGCGAGGACCAGGTGTTCAGATCTTGGGGTCGAGTTCTTGGAGTTGCAGAGGAGCATGCAGCTTTTGGGGAGCTGGTGGTGAGTGCAGCTTTACACCTCAAGAGTGAAATGGGCTGATTGGAAGGGACAGGGCAGGAGCTTGCCCAACCAGAGGATCTCCATTGGCTTCCCAGCCTGACTCCTGTGCTGGAGCAGAAGAAGATCTTGGGCGGGGAGGGAGACAAGGCTGGAGATGGTAGACAGTGAGAATCTGCAGTGCCACATTGAGAAGAGAAAGAGCTTAGCCCCTGCCCAGTGCCACACCAGCTTTCCATTTAGTTCTCACTGTACCGTTGGAGGTGGATTGTTACTAGCAACATTTTACAGGTGGGGAAACTGGGGTCCAGTGTTCCATAGCTAGTGGGTGATAGAGTTAGGTCTTGCTTGGCCACAAAGCCCACATTTCTCCCAGGCCAGGAAATCCATTATGCTGAAGAGGAGAAGCACTGGGTATCTGTGTGCCCAGGTGCCACAAGTCCTGGGCACCCACTCATCCATCTCTTGTTACTCCAGCCACCAGGATAGCTAGTGTCTACTTCTGGGCTTGATATACCAGGGGGCGCTCAATCTGTGGTCACCCTGTGTGGTAGAATTAGCTGCCAGTGGGCCATTTTCTCCTTCATCAGACGTTGGGCCTATCCTGTTGTGGCACTGGGGGACTGCAAAGCAAAGTCAGCATCTCCCTGCCCTCAGGGAGCTTCCAATCTTAGAGGGAGGGTGGAAACAGGGAAGCTGGGTGGTAGGCACAAGGATAGGAAAAAAAACACAGCCGTGGGCATATAAAACCTTCATTCTGTGCCAGGCCCCTTGCTGGGCATAGATATCCCACTTCCCAGGTGCCCCCGCCTCCCGTGGAAGCATGATGAGAGCAGCACATCCCAGCCCCAGCTGGTGGCATCTCAACTTGGGACTTAGCCATGGACCAGACAGATGGTTACTGCTATGTGTGGCACAGGAAGAAGGGTTGGGTGAACCCTGGGGCACCTGGCTACCTTCCCTGCAGAACCAGCATTTGGCTGGGCTTCCAGTGGCAGGGACTGAGCAGCAAGAGAAAGAGGTGGTCTTGCCACATGAAGAAGAGGCAGGGGTGGGGATTTGGCAGCCAGACATTCCAAGCTCAGAGTCCTGCCCTGTGTCTCATTTGTCTTGTAACTTAAAGCAAGAAACTTGCTCTCAACAACAGAATAGAAATGGAGCACAGTGGTGCATGTTTGTAATCCCAGCACCCTGGGAGGCTGAGGCAGGAGGGTTGTGAGACCAGGCCTAGACTGGGCAAACTAATGACTAAGTGAGACCCTATCTTGAAATTTTAAAAGTGTTAGGGATATAAAGGGTGGTGGGGGTGAGAAGGAAGGAAAGGAAAGGAAGAAGGTAGGCAAGAAAGGCAAGAAAGAAGCAGAGTATAGCCTGTTTAGGGCCATTGGAAGAGAGAATGTCATGTGCATAAGTTAAAGTATCCAGCAAGGTTTGTGGTACAATGTTGTGTGCTGGTGTCATCTTTTTAATTTATTCATTTCAGGCAGAAAGAGAGATTTGGGTTTCAGAAGCAATAGTGTGCACAGCCAGTGCGGGGTGAGAGCTCCTTGGGTCCCTTCAGCACCTGGCACACCTGGTATCCTCATGCAACCTGGGGCTCCGCTCCCTCCCTCCTTTCCTGGGAGCAGACGGGGCACCCCAGGCCCCCTCCTCTGGCTATCTCCGGAGCTGGACCCCTTTGAAGCGCTGCCGGTCTATTTTGAGAGCTGAGCGTTTCCCCACTCCCCTCCTCTCTTCCTGTTTATGAAATACTGATCCCTCCCGGATTCCTCATGCTCCCCTGGCCAGAGCTGAGGCAGGATGTGACTGTGGACTTCAGGGAGTCTCGGGCAGCCTCAGGTGTTGGGAGGAGCTTCCCTCGGACTGACCAGACCAGGCCAGCCCACCTGTCCACCGCCGGGACCCATGCCCAGGCCCCGTCCCTTCATCTGCCTAGGGGAGACCTTGTGGCAGAAAGACTGACTAAACAGAAGTGCCGTTTACAGTGTCTCTTTGTCTCCGTGGCCTGTTTTACTTCTAGAAACAGCCTTCTGAGGGTGGAGTGTATAGTTTGAACCTTTATGCACCCAGCTGGTAAGAAGCAGTTCTTAGCTTTCCAGCGTATACTCATGACCCGAAGCCTCTTGCTCACGCTGGTCTTTCTCTACCTGAGCCTTTCTCTGTTTTCCCCCTTTCTGCCCGGCCAAAACCTGTTCTTCTTGGGGACCCATCACCTGAGGTCCTCTCATGCCTTATCCATGGCTCGTGGCCAACATTTCTGGCAGCCACAGCACCTGTTTGTCACAGGAGAGTTGTGTTTTATTATTGGGTCTTTCTTTCTTTTTTCTGTTACTGCAGATCAAGCCCATGGGTTACCGCTGAATTACATCTCCAGTTTCACTCCATTTTAAAAGTAAATTTCACTTTGAAACAGTTTCCTAGGCTGGCATTAAACTTACCTACCTTAGCCTCTGAGTAGCTGGGACAGGTATTTCTGTTAAATCTGGCTTGGGGAAGGCCAGGGTTTGCCTGTGTTAACACCTGTGCCTCCTCATGTCTGGCTCTTGCCTGGACAGCACCGGGCAGGGAGGGGGTGCTGTCAGTGATGTGCTAAGGGGAGGCCCAGAGCTAGTGTCTGATGTTTGCGGGGAGGCCTTGCAGGGAATGTGGGAATGTGGTCATGAAGTGCTTAAGAGTGTAGGCTGTGGGGCTGGGGTTTAGCTCAGTAGTTCTGCCACCTGCCTTGCAGAGTTCAAGCCCCGGTACCAAAAAAAAAAAGTGTAGGCTTTGGAGACACACTTTGGTTTTGATCTTAGCTCCCTCCCTTGCTAACCTTGTGGCCAAGAGAGCAAGTCACTTACTCTCTGAGTCTCTAAGATGGGATGATAATACCTCCTTTGGAGCTGAGAGGTGGTCTTCTAGCCCCAGTGCTGAGTACAGGCCTGGTGGAAATGACCTTAGCAAAGGCTGAGGGAAAGTTGGGCATGTGCTCTTAGTGTTCCCTGGAAAGGAGGCTCAGTTCTCATCATCACTACCCCATCCCCTCAGGTATGCCTGGCATCTGCCGATCCTGTCTCACCTGCCCAGATGCATGCTGGGAGACACATCTGGGGCAGCACCAGGAGGCTCTGCAGATGCTGCCAGCTGGGGGAGGGGCTGTTGGTGTTCTTTAGGGCCAGGTACTGGCAGGTGGGTTTGACTATACAGGTGTCAGAGGGAGGCCTAGGATAGGGACTCTTGGGGCTAGGGAGCAGGCTGTGGGCTGTGGGCTGTGGGCTTCTCTCCCAGGTGCTGTATGGGAGGAAGTAAGTTCTTAAAGAGGAAGTGTCTGTGAGGGGGGATGGGGCAGGCACCCAGGAATATGAGCCAAAGGGTGTCCACCCCCTCCCCCTGTACCCTTCAACAAAGGCCGTTCTGAGACTGTTTCCTTCCTCTCTTCCCTTCTGCTATTCTGATGATCACAGAGGTTCTCACTTTGCTTTGAAGGTCTAGGAGGTTGGAGGTTGAACCAGCCCTGGAACTGCACCAGAGGACTTTGGGCTGCCAGGGAGACCAAGGAAGCAACAGAAGGGCTTGGTCCAATCAAGGCACCTTTCTCAACCCTGTAGGCTGTCCACCACTGTGTTATCAAGGCCGTGCGAGGGCAGGGAAGGGGAAGTTGGTGCACTCGGGGGCGTGTTTCTACATCAGGCCTGCCTGTGCAAGGGTTTCCGATCATCGGCTGAGTGTATCTGTCAGTTCCTCTGGGTGTACTAGTGTGAGGATGGGGTGAGACTACAAGGGACAGGGCTGGGCCTGGTCTACCCTCCCCTCCTAAGCCACCCCTCCTCTCAGACCTCTGTCAGGTCCTTACCAGAATCTTCTGCCTCCTTGTTCATCCCAGAGCCTGGGACTGGCAGGCTTCTTCAGGACAACAGAGCACTGGCAGGAGCAGGCATGGTGGTGCCAGCTCTGTGGCTCCCATTCTGGATGGCTGCAGTCACGGCAAGGTCACAATGGGGAGAAGATTATCCAAACTCAGGCAATCAGACGTGTGGCCCTGCGTATTTCTGCACCATGTACTCTCAGGGTCCCCCAGGTGGATATTTGTGGGTGTCAGCTTTGTCTCTGCCTCAACACCTTGTGACTTCTGTCTGTGTTCCTGTCTCCATTCTTCGGATCAGAAGAGATGAGGAAGAGCACACCCTTCAACTGACCCTGGGTCATAGGCTTGGGGTCTGCAGGGTCTCCTCCTCAGCAGGGGAGCCTCACCGATCTTCTGTCCCTCCTCCCTGCCAAGGGGGAAGTGAGAAGGAGGGGGGCCAGGGACCCTGCCTTCTGCACCAAGAAGGCTAAAAAAAGCAGAAGTAAGAGGAATAACAGGGCCTTCTGGCCACTGGCTTGAACCCCACCATGCAAACCCCGGCAGATTTTCCCAGGATTGGGAGAGACTCGGTCTCCTGTCCTAGAAAGGTGAGCAGAAGGGCCTGCAACCAGCAGTGTCTGTCAGCATGACTCTGAGCAAGGAAGAGGTTTGGGGATGGCTCTGTCCCCTGGGGTTTCCGGGTGGCTGCATCTGTCCCCAGGGAGTGTTTTTAGCCAGAGGCAAACAGACAAGGTAGAGATGTAGATTTCTGGGTGAAGTGTGCAGGGATTGCTGTGTGGCCTTATCCAGCTCAGCCCTTCTCTGCGTCAGACTTTCTGTCTTTCCAACCAGAAAGTTGACAGTTGGGGGCCTGATGAGCCTGCAGGAGAGTGTGTGTGTGTGTGTGTGTGTGTGTGTGTGTGTGTGTGTAGGCAGCTGTTATACTCACTCCCTATCTGTCAGGGGGAGTCCTTTGAATTAGGCTTGAGTCTCTGAGGGTCAAAGTATAGAGGGGCAGCCCCAGACTGACCCTGGGAGTGAGGGAGAGGGCGGGCTTGGGTTGGCAGGAAGCAGCTCTGGCTGATTTACTTGCCCACCCTTTCCTGACACTTGAGGCTGCTGACTTGGGTGCAAGCTGGCTCTGCCACTGGTTTGCTCTGAGCCTGGGTTTTACCTTTCTCTAGGCCTCAGTTTTCTGTTCCCAAAAGGGTTAATGGCTTTTGAGATGTTTGGATCAGAGTCCAAGCCACCAAATTGTACTCAGGAGTTGGTCCTCTCAGCCAGTGCCTTAGTCCTGGGACCCTCAGGCCTTGGCATGGGAAGAAAAACCTAGGGAAATAGAAGACCTTGGAGATGAGTCTGCTGCAGACCTCAGATGGCCTTGCTGAGTGCTGGGACCTTGCAGGTGTGTCGCTTCATCTCTCTCCCCATTCCCAGGTACACTAGCAAGAAGCCCCTGGTCCGCCCATAGCCCCTGTTCTGCCCCAGGTGTCCGTCAGTCTGCATGGGCTTCGCTGACTTTGCTGGCTGTCTCTGCTGCCTGCCTGTGCCTGAGTTTGGGTTCTTGTCTCAGTCTCTGTTTGTCTTCACCGGTTGGGTATGTGCCGAATGCTGAGCACCTATTGGATTTTTGTCCCCTTCTATCTGTGCTTGTTGGACCCTCATCTGTCCCTGCCTGGATTTGTGTCCCTAGGTCCAAGTCTGTCCACCTCTGTGTATTAGGTATGAGTCTCATTTCCCTTCCTGATAGATATATGCTCTTTCTGTATCTGCCCGTTAGGTGTATGTCCCATCCGTCTCTGTCTGTTGAGTATATTTTCCCTTCTACCTCAGCTTGTTGGGTACAAATACTTTTATATACCTGCCTGCTGGATACTTGTGGTTTCCTGCCCCTGACTATTAGGTGCCTGTCTTTATCCATCTCTACATGTTGGATGTCTGCCTCTGTAAGCCGGATCTTTTATTTTTTCAGACAGGATCTTGCTACGTAGTTCAAGCTGCCTTTGAACTTGTAGCCCCAGATGGCCTAGAACTTGTGGTGATCCTCCTGTCTCAGCCTTCTGAGCACTGGGATTACCAGACATGTGTCACTTGACACCTGGATGTCTTTTTTTATCTGCCTATGCATGCTAGGCACTTACCTCTGCCTGTTGGGTTCCTTTCTACTCAGCAGCTGGGTTGACATGGAGCTTTTATTTTGCAGACCCACAGGGAGGATGGGGGGAAGGCCAGAGGCCAGCCCTGAGGCACTGGGGAAGGGGGAAGAGAGAAGGGACCGTGGTGAGGGTGGAGGCCTAGAGCTGGGAAACCACAGGCTGTGAGTGATTGGCTGCTCTGGGCTGGGCCCAGCCCCTGCACCCTCACTCTGCACATCCGCCTTGGGCCCAGCCACCTCGGTGGCAGCCCTGGACGCTGCCTGCCCCTGCCATGGTGCCTTGCTCCTGGGCAGATGGAGCAGGATCCCAAGCCGCCCCGTCTGCGGCTGTGGGCCCTGCTCCCCTGGCTGCCCAGGAAGCAGAGGCCCAGGATCGGCCAGGCCCCTCTGGCTGTCCCTGTCCCTGGCTCTGGTCCCCGGCAGGACTTGGTGAGTGTGTCCGGATGTCTAGTACTGGCCTGACTATGGACCTTGGAACAGGTGCGGGGTAGCCAGTTTGGTCTAAGCTGGCTCTGGGCTCTCATGGCCCAGGCCTGGCCCTCCTGGGTGACTAGACCCTGCCCAAACTTCCTTCCTGGGGAAGTGAAGAGGCATCTCAGGGCTTCAATACTGGCAGGTTAGAGAGAATAGACGGTCCTAGAACAGCTAGAACCTGACAAGGGTTTTCTAGAACCTTGTCTGGGGGACAGGTGAAGGATGGAGTCTCTGGCTTTGTCACCCACCTGCCAGACTGGTATCTACTGACCTGGGGGAGG